GAAATAGAAGGTTTTTATAGCTCTGGTCATAACTGATCTAGTTTTCCTAATGGGAACTAGAAGAAATGAAGCTGCAGCTCTTTAAATCCTAGGGGACGTCAAGGAGACAATTAAAAAAAATAACACAACAGAAGGACTGAAGCCTTCCGTTATTCTTCTAGTATTGACATTTTTATGGCCTATTGAATAAGCAACACCGCAAAGAAGTTTAAAATGTGGATTTGCAGACGGATGTGTCAGCCTCAATTTTCAGGTGGCCAAGATTCCCCGGCTCTGCATTTCCATGGGTTGCCAGGGTTCTCTGTCCTGGCCCCAGCACTGCTGTGGGGCTCCGGCCCTGCTCTTCCTGGTTCCTGCTGGGCTGCTGGTCCTCTTGACATTAGGCTCCCAGGTTCTCTGGTCCAGAAGCATCAATGGTCCTGCTGGACCATGGATGTTGCCAGATGAGAGAGTGCCAGTTTTCAGATGTGCAACCTGTAGTAGGAAACTCTCTCTGTTTGATGATTGGTGGGTAGGGAATAGTCTATAAATAACTAGTGAATATGAGAATAGAAAGAGCTATAATTCATCTGTCCTCTGGCACATACATAACAGCAAATGCTCATGTTTTGAAGTGAAATGTTAGAAAGTAAATGTACATTTTTTCTATGCAGTCTGAGTATGTAAACTTGAAGCATTTTAGAAAGGGTAGAAAATGCAAATTTGGTGATGTATTGATATACCATTGACCATGCCTAAAGGCATTCTAGTGAAATAGTTATTTGTTAGAGGGAGGAGTGTCAGGCAAACAGTTATTTCAAACATCCTATAGAGTAGCTATAGTGAGGAAATCGTGCTTGCCTTCTAAGGATTTTGAATAGTGACCAATATCATGAAAGATTTTTGTTACAGTAGTTATGGAAACTTTCATTTCTTTTTCAGATGATTACTTGTGTGCATTCCAATAGGAATGTGTGGGAGTGCCACATGCACCGTTGTCAAAAGGTTTTTCCTTTAGTGGTACCCATCGGGTTGGCTACAAAGCCCCTTGGAGTGGCACCTGCCTGGTACAGTACATAGGGCTCTGCCAACCCTCCACCACCTCAGTTCCTTCTTACCCCCAGTGATGGTCGTTGGAACACATGTTCTCTTACTTTGTAAGACTGACCTAGCTGTTTTTCCCCATTTTTTTCTGCGTGTAGTTAATTAGTTGTTTATTGCTAAGTAGTAGTTACTTGATAGTTCTCATTGGGTGGTTCATTTTTTTGTTTCCCAGTAGAGTTTCCCCAGGAGCATGCAGTGAGAGTTTAAGCTTTGCAACTCCTGTGGCAAGCCTATGTCCAGAGGGGACCCACATATGACTTGCCCCAAGTGCTGAGCTGAAGGACATTTAACAGATAAGTGCAGTGTTGTGGGAGTTTCAAGCCGATAACTAAGCGAGAGAGAGTTTAGTGCTTGAAATTTCTGCTTCTGGAGTTGGCACTTAGGGTACGTCTAGACTACAGGCTTCTGTCGACAAAGCGCGTCCAGACTACATTGAGTTCTGTCGACAAAGCAAGCTGCTTTTGTCGACATGGTAGTCTGGACGCAAAGGACAGTTTCCATTCAATAACACCTTCTGTCGACTGAAACTCTGTCGACAGAAGGTGTTATTCCTCGTAAAATTAGGTTTACATACGTCGACAAAACTGCTGAGTTCTGTCGACGTTATGTCGACAGAACTCAGCGGTAGTGTGGATGCAGGTATAGTTTTGTCGACAAAAGTCCACTTTTGTCGACAAAACTCTGTAGTCTAGACACACCCTTAGAGTTTCAGTGCTGGACTCAGATGCAGCCTCTTCGTGCAGGTCTCAGTATGCAGCACAACAGCCTTGGTGCATGACTCATCTTCTATGCAGAAAGAGGGACGTAAGAAACACTGGCACTGGTCCCCAGCCCATAAGGCCAGTTCCTCAGTGCAGCACCGCTCTCATTTCCCGGTGCAATACAAGAAGTGCAGGTCAGACAGAGGCCTCTCTCTGGCCAAGAAGACTAGCAGTCACCATACTTTGCTGCATTCCTTGGCAGGACACCATCAAGATAGTGGGTAACCCCAGCACTATCAACTCCGGAACCATAACCCAGGCTCCATAGCAGATTTTTTTTTTCACATTTCAAGGTCAGACTGCCTGCTGGTTCACAATGCTGCTTGGTGGATGCAGCAATAGCCCTGCCACTCTATCCTGACCTTCTCACCCAGAACCACAACCGATTGCAGCACCCCAATCTTCTGTCCCTCCAGTTCATGGTCTGGAAAATCCTTGTCTGAACCTTTTTGAGCTTCAGTGATCTGACTCATTTAGGGAGGTCCAGTTGGGTAGCAGAAAACCCACCATTAGGACAATGTACTTTGTCAACACTTCTCACTTGGTCCTTTCAGAGGGGTACTCGCCCTTGGAGGCGACCATGCCCTTGGTGCTAATTATCTTTTGTACCTGAAGTACCAGGGACTGGCTCATCAGGGTCCACTTGTCTGCCACTTCAGCCTTCTACCATGGGGTGGGTGACAGATCCCTCTTCACTAACCCCTCAGCAGGGGTTTTCACAAGGGTCTGGAAGAGTTATACCCCCAAATTAAACACCTGGTCCTGTCCCGGCTCATGAGCCCTCCCTTGATTCCTGGGCTACTTGTTCTTTGTCCTACCTTTCTTAGAAAGTAGCATTCATAGTGACTGTAACCTCAACCAGACTGGTTTCAGAGTTCTGAGCTCTCGCTTCTGAACCTCTGTACATGTTTGGGTTTTTTAAAAAAAGAAAAGGTGCAAATCCATCCCCACCCAGCCTTTCTGCTTAAGGTGCTCTCCCATTTCCGTGGTAACCAGGACATTTTCTTACCCGTGTTCTTCCCAAAGCCCTATGCCAGTCTTATGCTCATTCCACGAGGAGTAACAGTTACTCCGAACTAAGGACTTAGTTTGGATTAACTTTAAACTGCCTCATGTAGCCGCAGGCAGTTCATTCGGCCTAAGGGGGATTTAAAAATGGCGGCCAGACAGGAACATGCAAATAAAGCCCAGGATATTTAAATCCCGGGCTTCATTTGCAACCCCGGTTCCCTGATTTGCCAACCTAGCTCGAATTAATGAGCTAGTGTAGACATACCCTATGCTCTTTCTCTGGCAAGAAACCAAGTATTTATCAGAAAATCTGATAGATTAAGTCAATTTTTAGAAATGGCTAGTGGTTTTTTGGTGCTGATCATGAGGCTCCTTAAAAAGATTAACTTTTCAGAGACCGGATGCTTAGAATTTTTGGAAAACCAGTCTCTTTTAAGGTGTCTCAAATTCAGCATCCCAAATCAGCAATAGCAAGAGGCTTTCTGGAGAGTATGTTCTGGAAAGCAGTTCTAGGCTTATTTCTTTATTCATCCCATGGAATAATTTGCTTGGTCCAAGGAGTTGTCCTATTTAGAGTGGAGTAAAGCATGACTAGAGTTAAGATTCACTATAAACTAAGTGAAAGTCCATTTCATTACTGAACTGGATACTTTTGTCTGTACCACCTAATCAAGAGACCTTTCTTGGATGGTACATTCCCTTTAATCAGGTTTGATTGAATGTTATTCTACTAGCAAAGACTCACTTTTGCTGAGGCTAAAAATACTCCTGAGCAGCTAGAGAGCTATGCACATTACAAGATTTCTCTGTCTGTAAAATCTTCCAAATACCCAGATGTTCAGATTAGGCGAACATTGATTAAGCAAGGCCTATGACTTTAAAAGAATTAACTGTTTAATCTCAACATTAATGTGACACCTTTACTTTGATTTGTTTTAAATTATGTACCTAAAAAAGTATATTTGTCTGAAAAGTAATTTGGAAATATATCTGAAACACACTCATTTTTCTTACTTTTAATACATCTGTGCTTGGGTGGATCAGTAAATCAGAACACACTAATCCCTAAAACAGTTTGAAAACACCATATTTACTCAGATTTTAAAACTAAACATTTCAGTTGAAAAGGTCAGTGGCACATACAGCATGTGCTGTAAGATTGGTAACGGCTTAAATCTTCTCAGTCGTGAGACAGCTGGGTAAACAAAGAATGGATTAGCCAGGTCTGCCGATAAGCCTGCAGAGCCCCTTTATCTGTAGCTTTCCCTTCTTAGTACTTCAGGGAACAAAGACAGCATTTGGCAAGGAAGAAAGGGGGAATTGTGGATGGGCACATTGGCCTTTCACATCTGCAGACTAGAGTAGAAAAGCTTTTAATCATGAGTCAAAAAAGGCTGGTGGTCTTCATAACGTAGTCCTTCGCAGACATTTGCTCAGTGCACAGAACATCCAGTTCTGTCATAATTTGGCATGATTGACAATCTCATTCCTGAGAATATGATTAAGCAATGCCATTGCAAATCTGAACTGGGATATATTAGTGTTGCTTATCAGAAGACTTACAGAATGCATTTTTACCAACTGGGTAACATCTTTTAAAATAAAAGGGCAATTAATTCGTTGATGTCTGGGTTCAACTTTGTGGTCTCTGTCCGAGGAATGAATGTATTGAGCTGGCAGGGCAAAGCAGTGACATTTTACAAATCAACAAGAATTCAGTCTTCAAAGCCCATCAAGCTTATTTCATCATTGTTAGACAACGTGGTTTATTTAAAATGTACATGTCACATTGTTGTCCGTTCAGGTCTCCTGTTATGTGCCTGTGATATGTGGTTCAGTGTAACTCAACTAAAACCCCACTCTGTGTTAAGCAAATAAATCTGAGCTAAAAGCCCTGCCATAAAACAGTTCTTCATGAATCCCTACTGCATATCCTGCTGCATTATTTTTTGCCAAAATAAAATTGTCTCCATAACATCAGCTCTGTGTTTCGTCTAATCACTGTCTCCAGCACTGTTCTCCAATGGCCTCTTCTGACTATTCTCTTTGCTCTTATCTAATACAATTCAGGGAATTCTTCCAATATAAATCAGTAAGTCCTCTTTTTTAATGTCTCTGTACTGAGCATTTATTTTTATTTTTCAGACTGGAACAAGCGTATTGAGTATAAGCCTGGCTCTGGCAGCATACCTTTGTTTCCCAGCATTCGTCTGGAAACCTGCGATGGACCTGTTTCCTCTATCCAAACCACCATTGAACTTCAAACCAATTACATTGGAAAAGGCTGTGACCGAGAAACATACTCAGAGAAATCACTACAAAAATTATGTGGTATGTGCTTGGTGTTCAATTTATTTCTTAGTTTCTTCTGTCCATAAACACAGAGACCAAAGAGCTACTGTATATGTGGTTTTACTTATGACCAGGCTCATTGTAGCTAACTGGCAGGAACCCAAGGGAATTAAAAAGATGGTATAGCTGTGACATCAGAGGTAGCTCCTGCTTCTTTCTTTTCCATTCTTTCTCTGTTTCTTATTCCTATCTTACTTTCAGTTCTCCTCTCCTCTCTCTCTTCCCCTCTTTATTTTCTCTCCTTCGTTTTTTCTTCTCATCCCTTCCCTTCATTCCTTTCAAGTGCAGAGTCCTGTACTTTGGACAAAAGAATTCTAAGCACAGCTACAGGCTAGGGACCGACTGGCTAAACAGCAGTTTGGCAGAAAAGGACCTGGGGATTACAATGGATGAGAAGCTGGATATGAATCAACCGTGTGCCCTTTTAGCCAAGAAGGCTAATAGCAAATTGGACTGGATTAATAGGAGCATTGCCAGCAGATCTAGGGAAGTGATTATTCCCCTTTATTCAGCGCTGGTGAAGCCACATCTGGAGTACTGTATCCAGTTTTGGGCCCCCCTTTACAGAAAGGATGTGGATGCATTAAAAAGAGTCCAGCAGAGGGCAACAAAAATGATAAGGGGGGCTGGAGCACATGACTTATGAGGAGAGGGTGAGGTCTTTGGGCTTATTTACTCTTCAGGAGAGAAGAGTGAGGATGTGTTTGATAGTAGCTTTCAATTTCCTAAAGGGAGGTTCCAAAGAGGATGGAAACTGTTCTCAGTGGTGACAGATGGCAGAAGGAGAAGCAATGGTCTCAGTTGTCTCAAGTTGTGGTGGGAGCGGTCTAGATTGGATATTAGGAAAACTATTTCACTGGGAGGGTCGTGAAGCACTGAAATGGGTTACCTAGGGAAGTGGTGGGATCTCCTTCCCTAGAGGTTTTTAAGTCCCAGCCTGACAAAGTCCTATCTGGGATGATTTAGTTGGGACTGGTCCTGCTTTAGGCAGGGGGTTAGATTCAATGATCTCCTGAGGTCTCTTCCAACCCTATGATTCTTTGATTCTATGAATAATCTAAGCATTCAACATTAAAAAAGGAGTCCTATGAAAATTGGAAACAAGGTCATTGTGCAAAGATTGGCTATAAATAAATAACACAAATATGTGGGAGCAAAATTAGAAAGGCAGAGGTACAAAATTAGCTCAAATTTAGCTAGAGACATAATGAGTAACAAGAACACATTCTACAAATTTATTAGAAGCAAGAGGAAGGCCAAGGACTGGGTAGGCCCATTGCTCAATGAGGAGGGAAAAACAATAACAGAAAATGTGGAAATGACAGAGAAGCTTAATAACTTTTTTGTTTCTGGTTTCTCTACAAAGTTTGGTGGTGATTGGATGCCCACAATAGTGAATGCTGGAGAAAAGGAGCTAGGTTCAGATGAAGAAGACTGAATTAAAAATTACTTTAAAAAGTTAGATGTCTTCAAGTCACCAGGGCCTGATAAAAATGCATCAGAATACAGGCAGTCCCCAGGTTACATGGATCTGACTTACATCGGATCCCTACTTACAAACGGGGTGAGGCAACCCCGCACTAGCTGCTTGCTTTTCTCAGCAGACACTTCAGCTTGAGAATAAAGGGCTGAGGGAAGTGAGGTGTGGGAGAATAAAACTGAGCTCTGGAGAAATGTTTGGCTAGAGTTTCCCCTACAATATGTACCAGTTCCGACTTACATACAAATTCAACTTAAGAACAAACCTACAGTCCCTATCTTGTACGTAACCCGGGGACTGCCTGTATTCAAGGAGCTGATAAGAGGAGATATCTGAGCCATTAGCTCTCATTTTTTTAAAAGTCATGGAAGTCAGGAGAGATTTCAGACGACTGGAAAAGGGCAAATATAGTGCCCCTCTATAAAAAGGGAAATAAGGACAACCCAGGAAACTACAGACCAGTTAGCTTAATTTCTATGCCAGAATGATAATGGAGCAAATAATTAAGGAATCCATCAGCAAATATCTAGAAGATAGTAAGGTGATAAATAACAGTCAGTAGGGACTTGTAAATAAGAAGTCATGTCAAACCAACCTGATAGCTTTCTTTGTTAGGATAACAATCCTTGTGGGTAAGGGCGAATAAGTAGACACGGTATTCCTTGACTAGGGGTTGGCAACCTACAACATACATGCAATAAGTGGCACGCAAGCCAATTTTGAGTGGCATATGTGTCAGGAGCTCCTCCCACTCCACCCCGGTAGCAGCTGGAGCCTTGTGGTTGCTGTGCAGCTGCAGGCTGGAGAACCAGCTCCACCTTCTGCTGGAACAGCAAGCAGGGGAGGGGATGGGGGGAATAGGTGTAGGCATGTTGGGGCCTGGGTGGCCCAGCAAACGGAGTGGGCAGTAGGCTCCACGTGACTCTGCACTGGGCTCCACATCCCTGGGGCTGCCCTTGCCCAGTCTAGGTGTGCAGCTCCCAGGAGCTAAGGGGTTAACACTCCCCCTGGCTCTGCTCACTGCTCTGGGAGGGGGCAGGGCTATAGCTGCTCTGCAGATCCCAGGCTGGGTAGCCTGTCACCTATGTGGGGAGCCGAGGTCCAACCTGAACTGCCTTGCTCCCCATGGGGTGTGCACTGGGGCAGGGATCCCCTTCCCCAGTGCCTAGCCAGGCTGAAACCAGGACTGTGCCAGTCCCAACCCCAGAGCAGCAGCCTACGGGTGAGAGTGAGCCCTGGCAAAGGGCTGGGCCAGGCAGGGAAGTGATTCTGTCTCCCCGCTCCGGGCTCCTTCTCATCCCAGCAATGCTCCTGGGGGGCTATGAGGCCCAGGGTGGCTGCCCTGCCAGTATGCATTCTGAGGGCACAGAGACATGGAGATACAAGGGGGTGGAGGAGGATGTGGGGGCAGGATGGGAAGGGCAAGGGTTGCACTAAAGGTGATGGGATGATGCTAGGGATCAGGCTGAGGGGGTGGATCATGGGGCTGAGAGGAGTGGGACTGGAGCAGAGGGAAGATGTGAAGGGGGTACAATTTTACTTTGCAGAAGCTGCACTTTCCTTCATTCCCCACTTCTTTGCCTCCCTCCCCAACTAGCTATTTGGCTGCATTCTCACCCTCTCACCTTTTCTGTGGTACTCCCGCAACCTCCTCCTGCCCAGAACTCCCTCTCGTATCCCCACCCCCCCACCCTCTCCTGCGGTCAAACTCCCATCCACACTCTGCTCTCCTCACCCACTCCTGTACCCCACCTCATGCGCAGATCCTGCATCCCTAGCCCTGTCCTACCCTCATTTTTGTCCCTACCCCAGCGCCTAAGAAGATCCACAAAATCCACTAACTCTGGAACCCCAGTAACTCTGGGCTATGAGAAGCCCTGAACCTCGGGAGGAGGTGGGGGTTGGGGGGGTTAGTTTGTTTTGCTCCTTACTGATGTGGTTCCCACCTGATTTTTCTGTGGGTCAGTGGCCTCTGACTCAAAAAAGATTCCCCACTCCTGCCATAAATAAAGAAAACATTGAAACCTTTTGGGTTGGACATAAATTAATATTTTACTTTATTTAAAATGAACTTTGATAAACTAACATGAAAAAGTTAAAATGCTTAATCTTAAATCTTAAATCTTAAATTAAATCATTCTCCCTAGCTGCAGTTGGTTCAGAAAATATGGTCACTGTACCCAGCCTGCCCCTACCCTCTCCTGTCCCCAGCATACAGATCCATAAATAGAAGAGAATAAGTTAAATCTTGGTGTGATGGCTTCTTATGGGTGCGAGCGCCCCCTTCTGACAGGGCAGAGGGGTTCAGCGGACCCGCCGTCTAGGGTTACCCGTTACTGTCCCGGGGTTTGAGTGCGATCACCCGGCCGGAGGTCCGGACCGGGGTTCGGCGAACTCACTGCCCTGCCCCTTTTGGGGGTCCCTGGGTTCAGTCAGACAGTAAAAAACGGGGGAAAGGTGGTGGGAAGTCCCGGCGGCCTGTCTGAGGGCAAGGTCCTCGCCGGGAGCGGGGTGAGGTGTATTGAGCGTCTCACTGCGCAGTTTCAATTGCCCGTCGTCTGCCAAGCCATGGGTGGCTCTGACATGACTTGCGGGGCGGGTCGAAACTATGCATGGGGGGACGGGGTGTGGGGGACCTGGGCCCACCCTCTCCACTGGGTCCCAGCCCGGGGCCCTAAGTGGGGGAACAATGGAGGCGTTCCTCCCACGACAGGTGGGGACTATCCCCGTAACGCACCTGTCCACAGTCTCCAGAAGGGCCCTGCCCCGGGCTCCTTCCACTCCCCGCTCCCGTCCGCCCTGTCGGCGTGCCTGCCAGAGGCGCTTACCCCACCCGAAGCGTCGGCCCCGTCCAGCTGCCGTCCTGGGGGTTCTGGGGCTGGCCCTCTGGTCCTCCAACGGGGGGGAGGGGGTCTCTGCCTGGCAGCGGGGGCCGGGGCGGGCTCCC